AATCATTATCAAATAAACTCTCGCGTAAACTATAGACAGTATTTATATAGAATTATTTGTATTTACGCAAGTAGCACAAATTAAATTAAAACACCCTCAAGTGAACATGACTGCTGCAAACTGCATCTGAAACGTCGGGTCATTAAAATAACTAATATATTTCGGTTTTAAATATATAGGGGATCGGTTTCAAGTAAATAATTGCCCATATTTTCACCATACAATAGCAAATCTTTGAACTAAATACTAAAATGCGTTTCAATTGCATCCAATCAAAAGAATAGGGTAATTACGCGTCGCCCACGCATGACCATCTAGATTTACTATCAAGCCACCACCCCATTGCAAACTTATTTCGTATAAAAGACAACTTCCTCGATACATAGGGTCTTGAGGAAACGTCCAGTTAATACACTTATGCGCCATGCTTCCTGTCGTATCCCCTTTTTCGACACAAGACGCTTTCTAATACAAACTCGTTTTGGTTTCTGGCAGCTATTGATTTAAGCTTTTAGAGCCTAAAGTTTTCTAGAGAAAGTAGTGTCAATGATCTATACACAGTGTCTTGTACCGTCAAAGAAATTAAATTTGGACTGAAAGGGGTTTCCTTTGCGTTTTGCGAAAACGATTCAGGAAATCTTAAATGTTATTCTTTTAATAATCTACAAAATGTCTGCGACAGACATACCTAACTAACAAGAACGGTTTTTATGGTAATCAAATTTTGGTAGAAACACTTCATATGCCAAAAAGGTATTAAGAAATATTTAACTGAAACGTAAAATCGGAATTTTATCTAAAAATCTATATCATAAAACTTTTGAAACAAAAAATGGCTCCAATATTATTTGAAGTCCAACGCCTATAATGAGATTACCTGTCTTCGTTTCTGATCTGCGACGTCTACCAACATCTGGCAGAAGTGCCGCTTTCAAGTTTTCTATGTGAAAAAGTCCAGTTATCTGATTAAACTTTTCCTATCTGGCATTGCCCTGAACTTTTCGGAATTGAATGAAGTCTTATCGTTGGACAGGAAGTTGATTTACGCCCGCTTTATAATTTATATACCAAGAACTTGATTAAAACTATGTACAATAGTTAGTGAAGTTGTGTCCAAAGGTGCTATACTTTGTACTAGTATTTAACTATGTATATACTAGCTGCGCCAGCGACTTCGCGTAGAATACTTATTTTGGCCGTCAAAATATGTTTTTGCATACCTCCTTGAATAATCCAAAATTATAGCTGTTATCTACGAGATTGTTCGGGTCCTAATCTTAAATGATAGATATATATTCTCGCGGACAAAATTTTAAATCATTTAAATGAAAGAATTATTATTTTATACGCATTTTTGCGTATCTTAAACCATTTTCGCAGCTCATGCAACGGACACTCTCCAAAATGAAAAAAATCCCCGTTTGTTCCACATATCTCACTTTTTCTTCGCTCTTATTGGCCGTAGGATAATATTTTATAGCCTAAAGTCTTCCTCGATAAATGCTCTAACCAAAACGAATTTTGAAACTCGAACCAGTAGTTCCTGAGATAAGCGCGTTCAAACAAATAAACGTTTCAGCTTTATAATATTAGTATAGTTATGCATTTTTGTTTATATAAAATAACAGATGTATAGTTCTAAATAAACAAACCTCCGGGTTCTTTTTTATGGTGGAACAAGGATGTCTGGAATTTGTTATAGAATGCTTATCAGCTGACATTCGTAAATTTATCGATGTTTGCAAAAACGGCATCCCCGTTCAGAATTAGCGTGGCTTCCGTTCGGGACCCCCATTTTTTGCTAATTCGGTAACAGTCCCGTTTCGAAGAATAGCGGGATCAAAAACCTTGGTAGTAATAAAGATTTAAACAAACACAAATTTGTCTAAAGACCCTAGTTACAGTGTATATCGTCAATAGTTAAAAAATGTTTTTTGTTACTCTACTGAAAGATCAGTTTTAAAACAAAGTCCAAACAGATTTAAATAACTTATCCTGGATAAACATTTTACACTTACGCATAAATGTGGATACATAAATATGCCGGCTTGATGTAATATGTTTACTAATGACTTTCGGATTGGCTAGTAGTGTTAAATTTGGATTATGAATTGTTTTAAGCGGATAGCTAGACGCAACGAGAAATGTAACTTCAGATTAAATCTCCTTTTATTTGTTCCTAAACATAAAACCTCTTTATTTAATAATTCCGTCACCGTTTAAACTATCCTCTATTGAAACTCCCTTCCCCCTAATATCAGAAAAGGTTCTCCGTTCTTTTAATACTTTGTTTTATAAGTCTTACCTTTCAATTCACTGTGTATACTTTTACGATGTACCTTTGATTTTTGTTTATTATTCCTTACACCTACCCGCTTAATTAGTCTTTTGCAATATATTTTCTCCTGTACCTCAGGTTGGCTGGAAGAGATTGCTGCTTAGCGATAAGGCCGCCTTTTATCTTTAAGTTAATACGTACGATTTTTTCTTTTATATAGGTATATTTCTTACTCTTTTGTATGTATAAGTAAAGATTTATTTTATAATTGAATGTAATGTGATGTAATATGTTTGCCCTATACTTTAAAACCTTAAGAATTAGACAGACGCTGACCTATCCTACTTGCAGTTCATTCTTTGTCTAAACACATTTCCAACACCTGCCCGCACCTTTTGCGTCACGGGTTCCCAGAGGGGTTGTACTCGAACGTTCGTCTCTTTCTCACATATAAGCCACTCATCTTCCATCCTTATCTAGCACGTCCCTAAGGGTTTTTGTACTCACCCTTATTCAGCTCGTGGGTGTGCGCATATTCGTACTCACACATTTGAATTTTGATTTCTTTTATTAGTGCAGCGGTGACGTTCGATGCGCGTGCGTCGAAGGATGTGTTTTGGCGGGAATTACGGGAGAGTTTTGTGCAATTGTTTATAGCTAGTCTTTAGAGTTAAATATGTGTAAATGATGGAGTGTATTTCTCTGTGTTTGGATTAGTCGCCGTGATGTTAAATATTCTGTGAGTGCTAATTTAGAGCTTTTATTGTATCGGATTGAAACGAGATGTGTTCGTCATATATATTATTGTTTTCAACGTTTCTTTTGGCGGTTGCTAGAACTTTATCGCATTTCAATCTAGTGAAGTTTTATCTTCCTTTTCATTTGATTGTGAAAAGATCAACTCAAAGTAAAAACATTGCTCTTACAACAGCAAGCTCAAGGCCAGTATATGAAATGTATTGTAAAAAATACAACTGCTTATTTTGCAAATTGATCCTTTTGTCAGCGGGGCCTCAATGATATTCTGTGGTTATCACAAATGACGTCACCAGACGAGGAATTGTGCGTGCTCTTTTAACATTGTGCAATTGGGGCGCGTAGATATTAAGCTCGTAAAATAGTCGAAAACCTAGTATATATGTTAGTTAAGTATATAGTTTATGTTAATAAGTTCAACTAGTCGCTTTATTTATTTAGTTTTTTTATCTGATTACTACTAACGAGAAGTAGGTATATTTGTTTCTTCTTTTATGATAGAGGAGAATAGACAAGCATGTGGTTCACTCGATGTTGGGTATAATACCCTAACCATATAACATTTTCGCTGTCGACATATTTTGATTTTGAACCGTTAAAAATAAAATACAACAATAAATTAAACGGAACTTTTAGTAACAAGTTAACCAAGGTATAACCGCGGATAGTAATTCATTAAATTATTTTAACTGCAAGATGTACATGATACAACATATGCACCAAAATACAAACTCAATCGTCAAATGTGACAGATAAAAACCAGACAACGTAACACGTTTCTTAGCTGATAAATAAAGTCGCTTGGGCCATGGGGCCTATATGACAAAGCTAAGCCGGTACTCTCAACAATGAAGGCGGCTTTTGTGCAAAATCGTCAATTTACACCAGACTTTTTACTGCGATGTCAATCACCAAAAGTGACAGAACAAGACGATGAATGGAACATGTTTGTCAGCTGATGGTATTGAAATATTCCAATTCTTACCTCATCGAAATACGAAGTCTGGGTATTATTATTCGATCCCGAAACCGGTATTCCGTATTCGCGTTCGTCATTACGGGAACTCGTTTGACGCCTTATACAATATATACCTATTTGGTACGAGAAAAGGTCCACAATCGGTTATTAATGCTAATAGAAAGGCTGAACCGGTCCTTCTTCCTAGAATTCCTATGCGCGTTGTGTTAAGAAAAATTGGCGCCACTTTTTTCCGCCCGCTCAATGCCCGTGTAATGAGAATTCGCATGATTGACAATAAACTCTAGATGAAGGCTAAAAATAAGTTCGAAGCTTCACATATATTCAAGGCGCATCCTGTTTAACCCTTACAGGACCATAATATGGCTGAGACTAAATATGCGAGAATATTTTAGCTATTTTGGGTGTAAAGTAAGATATCACTAGAAAAACATAGCAGAACATTCATACGTTGTATTTTGACATTCATTTCAAAAAATATCGATTTAATAATAATTGAATAATCGATAACGATTATTCAATTATTATTAAATACGAAACATATTTCCCTCGAGGGTGAAAGGGTTAATCATAGAATAACTTGCAATATCGTATTTTCTAAAATATAAAACTAAGAAAAAAAACTATTATTTACGTAATTTGAAGACGAAAATACGTTTCATTCACTTTCTTTCTTCTATTCAAAATTTTGACAGAAAACTTAAGAGATTTTGTAGCAACTCCAAATATGTTAATTGAGGAGTAGTTGTTATTTGATGTCAATTCGAGTACCGTGGGTTCGAGTCTTATATGCGTTTAAATTGATATCGTAATTATCACTTTTTTCCCTCTATTGCTATTATTTACATACAGATATTATTTACGTAAAATAACATATTAATTGGGGGCTTATTAAAAATCTGTTTTTTCCATATGATTGGTTGTTAGAGCATGTGACTTCGAGTACCGTGGTATTTGCTAATACTTATTTTTCGTGTATTGTTACAGACGTAGTGGAAATGAGTCGGAGTCGAGTGAGTACAGTGACGATTCGTTCGCGTATGCCGAGGATGTGCAGGTTACAGCCAAAAGCTCTGGACAGAGGAAGAATTGTAACAGGGGCAGATGGAGTAAGGAAGAGGTGAGGAATAAACATGCATTATTGTATAGAAAAACACATAAAAAAAGAGATATTTATAGCATCAAAATTTGGTTTTGTAAACCTTCTCATGTTGATAAATTATAGCTGTTACAAGACGTCGTTCGCGTCCCGTCGTTCTTGCAAGTTAATCCTAAAAGTAAGGCATAGACTGTCGCAGAGATTTTTTAGATCATTTAAAGATGAACCGTTCTTTAATCCATAATTTTTGGGTATCTAGAACTGTTTTCGTTACGTACAATTTAAACCAATAACAATGAATAATTTTCGCCGTTTTTCCACATTTCCTGCTGTTTCTTTGCTCCTATTAATTGCGGCGAGACGTTTTATAGCCTATAGCCTTCCTCGATAAATGCTCTAACTAACACGAACTTAATTTTTCTATTCGAACCGGTAGTTCTCGATATTAGCGCGATCAAACAAACAAACTCTGCAGCTTATATACTATTAAATAAATGTTACGTTAAGTTGCTTCCTATTTAAACAGGTTAATTATGGAAAAAATCAGAGTAATATTCTTATTTATAAGGTCTGTTAAGTGACATAAAAGAACATTTTCGCTTATTTTACAAATAAATAGTGTTCCTACTAATGTTTGAGGGATTATATTATATCAATTCGCAAGTCGCCTAATTTTCTTATCTAGACGTAAGTATTGTATGTTTTACTATATTCTTTCAGGATACAAAACTCAAGATGTACGTCCGCATGTACGAGGAGAACTGGGAGATGATAGCGGCGCAGTTCCCGGACAGGTCAGACGTCCAGTGCCAACAGAGGTGGACGAAAGTCGTCGACCCCAAACTAGTCAAAGGGCCCTGGACGAAGGAGGTAAGGTCTTAATAAGAAAGATAGCCATTCAGTCTAGCGCAGGGGTAGACGAATCACATTTCATTCACGCACTACACTTTAGCATACCAATTAGACAAACTAATTTACGATGTACTATAAAATATACGTACGATATTTACACGTGATTGTGTAATAGACTGCATTTAAATGAAGCTTATCATTATAAGCTCCATTGAAGCAAACACAATATTTTGGGCCTTTATAGCATAATCTAGATATACCTACATTATTTAAGATTTTTAAACAACTTACAAAAGAGCATTATCTGTAGGTTACGGGATTAGTGCACATTTAAATAAAACACATTTAACGGCTTTAATTTGAAAAGAGTTTCATTTGAAAGTCACAAGAGCTTGATTTTATTGAGCTAGTTAGTATACGTATAAATAGATAAACTTGATCTCGCGCTAGCGCCTAGCTTCTTGTCCCATCTGTGCCAAAAACCAAAAAAAAAATATTTTTTAAATGTATTATATCTATTTATTTGTAGACTTTTTAATATGTATTATATCTATTTATTTGTACGATGTCACTGATAGCCATTAAAACTTATAGTTTATTACAGTACTAGTTGTAATTTCAAAATACGATTTTTACAAATACCTATCAAACGGACTTACGAATTCAGTTCAAAGCTCGCTATGATTTACGACAGACCACCAAAGCTATGACATCATCCATTCACATTTCTAGATCTTACGAATTCCGAGCATAAGGTTTCTTAGATGTCATCAATGAGACGGTGTTACTTGAATACCAAGCATGGACATTTATAGCCAAGTGTGTCATGGGAGAAATATGTCTATAAACAGCTGATAATACTGATATGAGATTTTCTTATTATTCAATAAGGATTGTTTAAATAAAACTATAGAACACCATATATATATGAGTTTAACTCATTTGAAAATGATATTGGCGGAAACTACAGTATTTAATAACGATTGTTGTAAAATATAACTGTTCTTTTTTAATCTATAGTCCTTTAGCCATCCACGCGAAATCAAATTAAATTACTTCATGCTTTCTTATATATTTACTCTGAATACAGACAAAGTGTTTCATAATTAAATAAATTTTAAGTGTCTAATATCTGCTATAGAGTTACTCTTGTCTTATTAAATTCAAGCAAATTAAAATGATAATTCCATATTTAAATCGGTCATTCCATTGAAAAATTAGAATTACATCATTGTCTCTTTTAAATAAACAGTGCAAGCGCACTTATAACATTTGTATTAAGATAAAAATTGACCTTGTGTTTTAATTAAGAGTATATTGAGTTCATAGTGATAAGGTGCGACTGGTTTGTGTTTATATTAATTAGAGAGAATTGAGGTTTTACTCCGCTTGGGAAATAGTTATTCAAATTCAGGTTATAAAGCTACATTTTGATTGAGAAGTAAAAGTTGGCCGGGCTTGTTAATCCAATGGTAGCAATGGAAATCAACAATCAACGGCTCGTGGGTTAGAGCCTGATCACAGTCCATTGTGATTCCAAAAATCATGTAATACGTTTACGAAGACAGTTTATACTTTGTTAAAATTAGAAATATCTTAATTTCGTCCGGGTCGAGAACCAAACGTCCATGTGATAGCCGTGAAGTGTTTCATATTTGGGTTTCAGTCTGTAGAATTCCGAACGTTCGAAGCCAAAATAGATCATCGCCGCACTTTGTTAATGGTTTGGCTATATCACACAAAACATATATATATAAATTAAAAGACTGTCTAAATCTGTTCACATATATTTTTCTTCTCACCATAATTACTAGAGAATTATTCATAAGGATTGAAGGATTCCGCTCATAATGTATTTATTGTGTAGCTTAAGTGCTTTTTAAATATATTCTGTTGATAGAAGCAGAGAATTAAGCTTTTTTTTCTAGTATTTATTATTCTATACTTTGTAGGTTTAAGAGATTGAATTTTCTCCGTAGCTCAATGGTTCGAGTCGTTCTTGGTTCCGGAAAAATGTTTTTGTACATTTTTTTTCACACGTTGATAGTGAGTTCAAGTCCCGTGTGTACATTGGCATGTATAAATTGTAATAATTCATGATATAAGGGATATTAATTTGGCTTCAAACATAACTATTTTGCATCACTAATTTAAAAATATATAGATATAGAACCTTATGGTTGTAACTTGGTATTTATTTCGACGTATTGAGACCGTGACACTCCGTTTGACCTTAGCGAGGTCATTTTTTGTCTGTTTGTCTGTAAACACGTGCTCATTGTTAATGGTCGATTCTTGTCTTACATACAGCTCTTGTTTCCCGTCTGAATAAATATACTGGATTTAATTATAGCCAAAATATATAATTGCAATAATGTGATTCATGAGTGGGATATAATGAGATAGTGTAATGGACAAGGTATGATGCTGTCTATCATTGTCAGTCCCATTTTTACAAAACACCTAAAAATGTTCAATCCATATCTCAGTTTCGCATATATAGAGTTTCCCGTGACCACGGCTGCTGCAAAGCATCCCAAATGTTGGGCCGTAGTTAAAGAAAAAAAAGAATCAAGTTTAATTATAATATATCGCGTTTTAAACCATTAAAGTGTTTTATTTAACTGAGTACTACTCGCGTAAGCTACAGACAGTATTTAGACAGGACATATTAAAATTCTAATTCGAAAATAGAAATCGTTGATCCCGACAGCGGCTCTAAAAATTCCAAGCAGCAATACAAATGTCTCGCGAAAACCTGTCTACATCAAAATCGTCTGCTGCATCGGGCCTCATTAGCTGGTTTAGAGCTTAGTCACTAGCCGAACAGCTGATTCGATTCAATTCATATATCATGCGCCCACGCACTCGTTTACCTTGTAAAGTAACGTATTTTCACACGATGCTTTTTGTCAATACTTTTTTGTATAATAACAATATTTGAGGCTATCTGGGTGCACATCGAATTGTAAAGCCATTTAAATTGGAGCTGATCAAACGATTTTGTATCCGGATTTCGTGTTTCTTAGCTTTAACAGACTTAACGTCACAGTTTTGCGAGTTTGGTAATTTTAAGTTATAGTTTTGACTTCACTCGTAACTTTTTTAACAATCCCTAAATTTCATTTACAGGAAGACGAAAAAGTTGTAGAATTAGTCGGAAAGTACGGCCCGAAGAAATGGACGCTCATAGCGCGACATCTGAAGGGCAGGATAGGGAAACAATGCAGGTGAGATATACGTATACTTTTATGTGGTACAGTGGTCGTTAGTGGTTTGAGTTCCGCCTGTGTCATTTAGTTTATAAACATTCCGAAAATAAATTAAAAAAAGATTATAACTACCATGTCCTACGCGGTACCTCAATTGGTTAGAGTAACAGCACGAAACGCTTCAAGCCGGTTCAAGTCCTGCCCGTGTTCATTTTTTTTTTTAATCTATAATCGATTTTTAATTTAGATGGCACTCATCATGTGCATGTGAAAAATATTAAATTTTCATTCCGAGAATACTTTCCCACGTATATATAAGCCATTTTAAATTTATACTATGTACTTATTTGTATCCAAATAATGATAAAATATATTGAAATATATATTTTTGCGCAACGACAGCAAAAAACTTATTTATTTCTTTTCTGGTACACTTTACTACTAATATTATATTCTAGTTATTTTCATGTAACACATTATTCGAAAAAAGTTTATTAATATAATCTAAGAGGTTTTTGATATGGTAAACTATATGAACCCATTTATTTTACAGAGAAAGGTGGCACAATCACTTAAATCCGTCTATAAAGAAGACAGCGTGGACGGAACATGAGGATAGGATAATATACCAAGCACATCAGCAACTTGGCAACCAGTGGGCGAAGATTGCTAAGCTTTTGCCTGGCAGGTGTGTAGTTAGATAAAAGAGAGAGAGAACTACTATCTGTCTACAGGTAGCTCACATTTGAATAGTGGCCGTTGTTAAAAATAATGTATAAACAAGCTTAACTAATATACCAAACTACAGATAGTTTTAACTGTTTAAAACGTGAAATATCGGTTTACTTATTTTATGCTGCTTACGTTTTGGATGCTTTGCAGCAGTTGTTGTTATTTTAGGACTAGATTCTTAAACGATAGAAAATAGACTACTTATGTTTGAAGCAATAAAAAGATAATCTTCACTTCTAATCTACTAGTACTAACCTTTTATAAATCTTTTATAGAAGTTTTCCAAAGATAGTTGTAATTTTTGTAGTAATGTTGTAATGTTTAAATATATTCTAACTTACCAGGACCGACAATGCAATAAAGAACCACTGGAACTCAACGATGCGGCGCAAGTACGAACCGGACGGTGGTGACATGTTCGATGCTCGGCGGAGGCACGGCAAAATTAAGAAATACGACCATAACGTCACCAGCGAAAACAGCAAGGTTCTAGTTTCATGCAATGATGTTAGTGTTTGTTTCGTTTGTATTTTTTTTATTTTTTTTTTGTATTGTTTCTTGTCTTGTCATTATTTGTATATTTATACTTAACATTGAACAAGTACACTCTTATAGTGTTCTTAATGAAATTGTATGTCAAGAGGTCGAATTGATAACCTACTTTTGACACTACTTGTTCATTCATGTTTAAGAGAACAAACTCCTTTTATGTTGTTTGTGATCGTAATCGCCACTATTTTATATCTAAAATGCTTGCTGTATTCGGTGTTATCCAGCAGTTAAGCTCGTTCTTATAATAATACTCTAAGAACCCTATTAAAATCTTTATATTGGCTATATTATAATATGTTTATAATATTCTAAGAGTTACAAATACACACTTAACTGGGTTCAAGTATTTTATGGTAGGAGTCCGTCAAGTTTAATCGCGTTTCGGTTTCAGTCTGTCGATTTCCGAATATCCAAAGCCAAAATAGGTGGAGAGCACATCTAAATGTTCTAAGGGTATGCATCTTCCACACTTATCGGCCTCCACTTATCATAAAAACTTTTTAGCTTTAAAAAAAGAGATAAATTACCTAAAGACAGAATGCAGAAGAAACGAAACTGTATGGTTTTCTTAGTCTTAACATACTTACTTAAAATTAACATACCTTTATTGTGATTATTATAACTAGCATCTTAATATTTACAGACGTGGACAGACCCGTTCAACGAATCAATACAAAGCAACTCGTCGTCATCAAGCCAGCCACCGTCCAAGCAAGTGCTGCATTTCAGGCAGTTGTTGAAACAACAACTCAACACACTACAACACCAGAACACGTCGAACGTGTCCAATGTGTCGTCGATGTCTAATATGTCAAATGTCACACTTCAAAGCAGGGATTCCCCGGACAGGGGGGGATTGGCCGCGGCGGAAACTATGGAAATAGTTGATAGTAACTTTAAGTAAGTGTTTAATTCCTTCTCATGTCGGCTGAAATATGTTCGACAAGTTTAAATTTTTATTCTTGATTGAAAAAATATGCTTAAATAAAATACTTTTAACGATTTAAAAGGCGTGGTCACTGGGGGGGGGGGGGGGGTCACCAAGTGGTCTGTGCTTAAATAGCACATAATCCTAGTTATTGTCACCACTGTGGCAATTTTGAAGCCCACCAAACGGCACTGGTGAAGCCTTCAGGGTATTAGCTCTTGTGTCTCTCATATAAGCGGAGATCTATGCCCAGCAATGGTACATTGATAATGATCCGAAAAATATAACACTAATTACTTTCTAATCCATAATTTAATAATGTTTATGTTTTTAATTACAGGTTTATAAACATAGAAACGTTGCCTGAGGACTCACCTATAAAGTCCTACCTCTCGCAGGCTTCTTCGAGTACTACTGATCGAAGTGGAGGTACGTATTCTCTATATATTGTTTTTCACGCTTAAACAACTACGATATTAAAAACAAATATGTCAATGCCTTTTGACATATAGTATAGTTAAATTAAAAGACGATTATAAATTGAAAAAAAAATACGACACGGGCAGGACTTGAACCGGCATCCACAGAGTTCCGTGCTGTTTCTCCAACCGTTACCGTGTCCTACATATATCGTCGAATTTCTTCAACCTCTACTCTAGCACTATAATTTCAACCATAACATTTAAAATTAAGCTCAACTGGTTAAGAATAGTATTTTTTATGTAAAATTTCAGTGACGTACTCAGTATGTTCGGAACCGAGTAAGGAAATAATAGTGCCCTCCGTATACACGTCACCGAAGAAAAAGCTGACGGAGTCGAGTCCACCGCCGATTTTACGACGAGGGAAAACCAAACGGACCTCACATGTGAGTTACTGTATCGTGTCTTGTACTACTTCGTTAGACTTGTATATTGTATATGTGTTATATATTCGGTAATTTGTGTTTGTAAATATTATTAAGTCGCTTATTTTATTACATATTTAACTACGATCCGACGCATAGAATGGTTTGCATCGTTATCGCGTATATCGATTTCAATCTTTGTGTTCTATTTAAAACTGAATAATTATAAAGTAGGCAGAGTATTAACGAGTTAAACTATTGTTTATCCATTTTTCTGAGATTCCAATGGAAAAATTCTCAGGCTTACTACTATCATATTTTGTACTAGTTTTACATATAGTATAGTTACGTTAACATTTGTTTCTATATTTTCAGGCCTGGTCAGAGAACATGAAACCGCTAGAGGGCGCTACCCCCATAAAGGCGTTGCCTTTCAGTCCTTCGCAATTCTTGAATTCACCCGCCACGCTCTCCTTTCCCAACTTCGATTCTACGCTGAGACATTCCTCGACAAAGGTAAAACGTAGTTATAATTAAAAAAAAATATATTTTTTACTTCACATCATAACTTTCACGACGACAATTCACGACATAAGCCTTGTCATTTAAAGTGGATTGGAATTACTGTTTATCTGGTTTCATAAATCTTGCCCTTTATATTTCAGAATCTGGACAACTGGAGTCAGAGTCCACTTTTACTCACACCGACGCCAGCGAATATTACGCCGGGCGGAACCAATTTCAGAAATACACCCAAGTAAGTTAATAAATATATATGAATATTGTTCATCTACCAAAGTAAAAAACGAGGAAAACGATACCCTTTATCTGAATTAGTTATTATTTATTTGTGTACTAAAGATAAAAAATAAAATAAGAAATCTTGTTGTACAAATAAATAAAAACAAATACCTAACATATCTATAATTGATTCGAATGAACAATACATTTTAGTAACTTTAGTGACTTGTACTGTTATTGTTCATGAATTTTTAGCTGCAACTCTGGTCTGCATTAATGTAATACATGTTAGTAAATTGAACGAATAAATAAAATAAACGCGTATTAGCGGTAAAAATCATGAATATTACTAAATATAAATTTTACATTGTTAAAATAGATATTTTGTACTCTTATTTTCCTATTTAAGCAACAAAATTAATATCATTGGCCTACTTCTAAATAATGTTAATACATTTCAGAACACCAACGCCATTTAAAATTGCGATGGCGGAGATCGGGAAGAAATCCGGTTTGAAATATTCTCCTTCGAGTCCTGGAGTCCTGGTCGCGGACATCACAGAAATGATAGAGCGAGAGGAGAGCGCTATTAACGATACTGCACAGTCTGTTATGGATCACGAAGGACAGGTATGTGGAGCTTAAATATACATGTTATATGTTACCGTCTATAGTTTACGCGAATAGTACACGTTTAAATAAAACACTTTAACGGTTTAAAACGCAAAATACAATTATATTTTGCGTTCAACTTAATTTTAACTACGGTCGGGACAGGAGTTATATTTTTGAATGATTGACTGCTAAGTGAGAGATGTCAATTTCATTGCCATTTATAGTTCAAAAGTTTAAAGGGTGTGATACAATTCTACGATTTTTACTCTATCTATTTTGTTTCATTCAATTATTGGTATGTTAGTTTTGCTTGCTATAGGTGACGTCATGGGTTGTGCTACAAGTGACATGACTCCGTCTACATCATAAACAATGAGTAGCAGAATGATGGATAGCATTGTCCCATCAGTTCAAGTATTGATGTAATGGTAAATGCATTGTTGGCGACTGCTTAAGTACATGTTAAAAGTTTGAACATAATACTGTTTGAAGAGTGTATATTCAAATAGAAAGGCATGCAACACACAACAAACCAGGACCTGTTGCTATGGAGCTTGACATTGAGGAATATAGATACATTGTACCCGGGTCTGCAAGTGTGAAGTATGTTACCGAAGACTGCGTGGAGGTAGGCGACCAGGCCCCCATGACGGTGAATGTTACTGGCAGCACAAATAAAAAATTAACCCAGCAGGCTCTCCATCCAGGCCTCTTCATCACAAGACCTAGGTCTTCTTCATTGAGCAATATCAAGACTACTGAGTCAAAGAACCCACCTGCTACTCCCGTAATAATGGATAATGATCATTTAGTTAACAATGATTGCCCTCCTCCCTCCTGGCAAAGAATACCTACAAGCCGCTACCCCAAGAGAAAGAGACTATCAAATAGTCCTCCACAATACCAAAAACTCGACCAAAAAACACAAACAGGAATCAGTACTTCTAACAGTTACAGTGGACTACCTATAGATCCTACTGATGAAGATTCATCCACTTACGCTAAAAAAGTCTACAAACCACCTCCTATAATATTATATGGCATAGAGGATCTCTCCAAATTAACTGAATTACTAAATAGTAATGTACCTAGTGACGGCTACTCATACAAAATCATAAACAGAGATCATTTAAGAATCACGACACAATCTACTGATGTATATAAAGAATTAATAGAACTCATTCGGAACAAAGGTCTAATTGGTCATACATTTACTCAAAAGCAAAATAAATGTTATAGAATTGTGGTAAAAAACTTGCATCACACCACACCAAAAATATCTATTATAGAAGAAATTGAAAAAAACAGGTAACAAGGTACGTGGTGAAATTGTGTGCGCAAGATCAAGAATAAACAAAAAGCCCTTGAACATGTTCTTTGTAAACATAAAACCAGGCCCCAATAACCCAGAAATAAAGAACATAGAGTATATATACCACACAAGAGTCAAGATTGAAGATCCAAGAAAATCAACTGAAATTCCTCAGTGCACAAGGTGTCAACAATACGGGCATACCAAAAACAACTGTATGCGCCCATACAGGTGCGTTAAATGTGGAAAAGGACACAAAACTACAGACTGCCCAAAGAAAGACAACAACACACCCGCTACCTGTGCTCTCTGCAATGGTGACCATCCGGCTAACTACAAAGGCTGCCAAGTGTACAAGGAAATAAAAGCACGAAAAATTAAACCTCCGGCAGACAAGCTAAAATACTTGAAACCTGCACCCCAATTAGCTGACTTCCCTCCTCTGAAATCTCCCAGTTATATTAGACAACATTCAGCAAACAACCAGATGAGAAGCACGGAACACACGCTTGAAAATATGCCTAGTACTTCAAATACTAGCTATTGGAATAGAAAAACAGAGATTAAGCAGTCTCAGTCAACAAGCTCATTAGAGCAAATTATAATCAAACAATCTGAAAAGATAGATATTCTAATCCAACAAATAGGAACCCTAATGGGCCTCCTAACGTCGCTCATAGCCCAGCAGAAAAAATAAATTCTTGCGTGTGGCAACATGGAACGTAAGTGGCCTAGCCTCTAATAAGCAAGAAATTGAAGTATTTATAATCCTCCACAAAATAGAAATCCTATTAGTCACTGAAACACACATGAAAGACCAAAATGTAATTAAAATAAAAGGATACAACATATACTATGCGAACCATCCAGATGGGACATCACATGCTGGGTCTGCTGTCATAGTTAGGGAAAACATTCGACACCACGTCTTACCAAACTTTAGACAAGGACACTTACAAGCGGCTATAATATCAATAGATGACCGGCATGGCTCGCTAAATGTGGCTTCAGTTTACTGTCCCCCGCGACATCGAATAAGTGAGCAAATGTTTAGTGACTTCTTTGACACACTAGGAAACAGATACATGACAGGCGGTGATTGGAACTCAAAAAATACATTCTGGGGCTCTCGGCTAACTACAACAAGGGGTCGGGAGTTAAAAAAGACTATTGATAGATACAATCTTAACGTAATATCTACAGGGGAACCAACACACTGGCCTACAGATCGTGACAGACTTCCGGATGTCATTGATTTCTTTATTACTAAAGGAATCTCGGGACTATACACAAAAGTGGAATCATGTCTTGATGGCTTCTCAGACCACACACCTTTGATATGTGCCCTAAGTTCGACTGTGATCTGGAAAGAACCACGTCAGACCCTATACAATCAAAAAACAGATTGGGAGGCTTTTCGAGATTATATAGAGGAAAATGTTAACTTATGCATACGACTCAAATCAGAGGAGGATATAGAAGATACTACGCAGTATACCACCAATATAATACAAAAAGCAGCATGGCTATCAACACCTTACTTGAACTCTAAAATACAAAAAAACGATATTTGCCTCGAAATAAAAGAGCTGATAGCTGTGAAGAGAAGACTAAGACGTAGCTGGCAGTCCTATAGGAATAGACAAGACAAAAAAGCACTCAACAGAGCTCAAAAGGTTTTAAAAGAAAAGCTGAGAGAAAATGAGAATAGTACCTTGCAAGACAAATTAAAATCATTGTCTCCATACAAAGCAGACGACTATTCGCTCTGGAAAATGACTAAAGCGTTAAAAAGACCAAAAGAACACATGCCTCCTCTAAGAGAAGCTACTGGCAACTGGTCACGAAAACCTAAGGATAAAGCTCAGTTATTCGCCGACTTCCTAAAAGACACGTTCAAACCGAATGAGCCTGATATTCATCACACAGAGGAAGAAATTGACGAAATCCTGAATAGAGACCAACAATTGTCTATGCCACTAAGACCGGTTACACCGGCCGAAGTCAAGATAACTATAAACAATTTAAAACCTAAAAAGGCACCAGGATTTGATCTCATAACGGCAGAAGTTCTGAAAAATCTACCTAAAAAAGGCATTGTTCTACTGACTATCCTCTTCAATGCAATATTGAGGCTACAATATTTTCCAAGGTTATGGAAGGTGTCTGTTGTGAACATGGTTGCCAAACCGGGAAAGCCCTCAACAGAGGTTACATCATACAGGCCCATAAGTCTTCTGCCATTACTATCTAAAGTCTGCGAAAAGCTAGTCCTAAAGCGCCTTCTCCCAGTCCTTGAAGAACAAAACGTTATACCAGATCACCAGTTCGGCTTTCGTTCACATCACGGAACGACGGAACAGATACATCGAGTGGCTCATACAATACGGCAAGCGATGGAGAGGAAGGAATACTGTTCGGCTGTGTTCCTTGACATACAGCAGGCCTTTGACCGGGTGTGGCATAAGGGCCTCTTGTGCAAGTTAAAACAACACCTTCCAAATACTGCATACATGCTCCTGAGGTCATATCTGCAAAACAGAACATTCCAAGTTAAATGCGAAGACTGTCTGTCACCCATTTACGAAATAAAAGCGGGCGTGCCTCAAGGCTCTGTGCTGGGGCCGGTTTTGTATACGGTGTTCACCGCCGACCTACCAATCTCAGAAGCAGTGGTGACAGCAACTTATGCCGATGACACTGCAGTTCTCTCCTGTAACAGAGACCCAAAAGTGGCTTCCGCAAAACTTCAGGAATGCCTAGATAAAATCGGACTATGGCTGAAAAAGTGGAGAATCCGGGCAAGCCCAGCTAAGTCACTTCATGTAACATTCACCTTAAACAGAGGGGACTGCACATCCGTGACACTTGATGGAGCTACTCTGACACATCATACAACAGCTAAATACTTGGGCATGCACCTAGACAGAAGACTAACCTGGCGAGATCACATAAAGGCCAAAAAGAAACAGGCAGATAAAAAATATAGAGACATGTACTGGCTGCTAGGAAGAAATTCAGCACTAAGTTTGGAAAACAAGCTCGTCATATACAAATCTATATTGAAGCCAATTTGGACCTACGGCATACAACTCTGGGGCTCAGCAAGCCACTCAAATATAGAAATTTTACAACGCTTCCAAAATAAGGTTTTAAAAGCTTTGAGCAATGCACCATGGTTCACAAGAAATACAGAAGTCCATCAATATCTGGAAATCCCGACGATCAAGGAAGAAATAGAAAGGACTGCTGCGGCCTACAGGCAGAGACTTGGACACCACAGAAATCATCTGGCTGCAAAACTGCTGGATGCTGATGCCAACATGTATCGGCTGAAAAGAATACGACTAGCCTCAATCTGAAGAATGAAAGGAATATGAGATGACACATCAGAGGATGTGCACTCTCCAAGCATCAAATAACTCATCAAATCTGATTAAAGCCACTTGGTTGATTGCAGATAGAAAAGAGACAAAAGAAAAAAAAAAAAAAATCTATTTTGTAAGATGAAGATTGAGTTCTTTTAATTTTATCGATATTGATTTTTGTTTTTTGATTATATTTAAACACTATCATAATATGTATTAGTATCTATTGTTTTATCCTTTTTAGATACCATAAGTTCTCATTAGCTGGATAAAATATTTCTATGTATAGAACGATTTTCGAATAAGACTAAGTGCATTGTTATGTAGTCAGGGTCTAGTAGTGGACCAGTTATTTACAACGGCAAACATTTTTAGTAATTAAACGGAATTTATAGGCTACTCGTTGTAGAGTACTTATATACTTACATTTAAAGGAATATGTGCGTATCTGGTGGGGTTGGTCGCAGGTAGCATAAGTAAAAAGATGTTTTGTCTCCGAATAGAGTAAGGTAGAATGTGTAACTCAAGATTTTATTAATCTCAAAATTAAAAATCTCATTATTTGTTTGTGTAAACTAAATTCACAACATACCTTACGATGTTTTCCTCTTAGTATTTCTAAGGATCGAACCCCAGACCTTATAATCATTAGTCGGGTGCTCTCACTCAAATCGCAGTAGTATATCGTTTTATGAACAGTAAAGAGATAAAGTTTAAAAATCGAAAATAACTGGATTTTTTTCAATTTAATTTCGATTTTTAAATTATATAGTGCAATCATGCGCAATAACATGTGAAATATGATAAAGTTTTAAAGATTCTTTGTGTTGTATAAAATATTTTAGAATCGATATCGTTCTCAGGCTAATGACAGCGGCATCGGAAATAGCTCACGAGGCAAAGAAAATGTTCCGTCGCATAAGAGAGCGCGGAAGGCGCTCGCGCTCGGCCCCAGCGCACCAACAGCTACCAGCACCCCACATTCCCACAACAACCTGGTGCCGGATGTCTGCAGTTTTATCATTGAGACACCGGTAAATTATTTATTATCTAACTGTTACATATGTTAGGGGTCTTAGATTCAAATACCGGGAATCGTAGAATGAAGAGGGGGTGTTATTAGTCAAAGGACAATAGATAATCAGGATTCGCTTGATGGAAGAGGAACCGCCGTAGTCACGTTTAAACAAGATGCGCTCTCGGCCTGTTTTGGCTTTGGCCATTTAGAAATCTTGACCGTGGACGCAATTTGATATTCCCTCTATCCATGTATTGGTCAGATTTTTCAGCTTTTTTTAAATTAGTCATATTAAATATGTTGGACCTAATAGAAATCGAATTCACGACCAATTGATTATTAACAAGCCTAACATTGCTTCTATTAGGCTTAACCTGTAATAGTTACCTTAGTTGCAAATTTAAAAGCGTGTACGTCGTAATGAAGGCTTACTTGGATTCTTGTTTCAGAGCAAAACGCTAGCAGGAGACGAGAGCTCCGAGCTATTCTCGTCCCCAGCGATCCATCGAAACCCATACTTAGACGAGTCCACAAGCCTGCACAGCTTAGTCAGCGAAAACACGCCAGACAAATACCAAAACATCGACATCGAAAACATTATCTCGGAAAAGACTAAGGTACAACACAGGTCCTACATCCCTACTAATCCTAACCCTTACTATCAGAATAACCAAAACCCAGCATTCAAAGACATCACTAATCTAGAGTCTCCCAGGAGTTTCGCTAGACTCAACGCGGACAGAATGAAAACGATAAGCGGCGAAATGAATGACCTAATAGCTCCTAAGGAGGTATTAACTAACGCGCTCGTAGACCACATCTATAAAGTGACCAATCAGAAGCCGTCTACGTCGCGAATAGACGAGATTCTGACCAATAAAATAATGAAAGGTAGTGAAGTAGAAAAAGAAAACCAATGGTGGTTAGAGAAAGATTTGTATACGGATAAAGACAAACAGAACGATGATTTGTATAACGACTATTATATATTTACGAATCAAATGTGAGTTAAATTAAGAATTCAAATTAAGAATTTCGATTTTAAATTCTAACGGTTGTGAAGTTCGTTCGATTTTTAAATATTCGATTAATCGAATCGTCGATAATCGATTCGGTTGTAAATTAGGTTTAGGGTGGAGATTAATATAAGCGACCAAAGATGATCGTTTCATCAGATGAATTTTTTAATATATTGGTTTAGTTAGGTTTCGAATTAGGTTTTTAGGTCTTTATATACCTCAAGTTTACCACGCACCAAATTTAATTTAAGTTGCAAGTATTATGTAGGCTAGATTTATGGCTCGTTGGCAAGTATTCTTTATTGGATAATACCGGTTGGTTTTGACTAATCTAACGGCTTCGTAGAAAGTATACTTTTATTCGATGTTTAAAAGTTTTTGGGTCAAATTTAAAGGACGTTTGGTATGAATTAAGAAAGAGTAGTTTTTAGTACGCGTTAAAAGTTCGGTTTTTCGGGAGCCCGGGAATAACTAACTATATTGAATAACGCAGGCCAAAATAACTAGATAGTTTTGAATCTGTGGCAATTAACGTAGTTAGTAGACTAACATCCCTAGGACCTGTCCCATTCCCCTATTTTATACGAAAGTCTATATTCGCTTTGTAATTTGCATTTTCCATTTTGTGTAATAAAATTACATCTATTTATTTTCTATTTCTGTTAAATAAATCGGCAGCTACTTAACGGTACTTTATTTGAAATAATTAAATGACATACCTTGTCCCGCCTTCGTCCGTTCCCACGCCCACCTTCCACCATCCGACAATATTGACAGGCCAGTGTTGATACTCTAAAAACATATTTATTTTTTGTTGTATTATTTTGTTATTAATTTATGACTTATAAATTGTTTTAATTTATTCTATAGCTGTAGTGACTTTGTAATTATGTTTTTTGTATTGTTTTTTATTTTTCTTTGTTTCGCTGTCAATATTGATAGTATCCAATCCAAAGTCCATTTGAGTCCAATGTCATTTTTTATTTCAATAAATGTATTTATCACAGTATCTGTTGGTTTTATTTTTGTTTGTTTTTTATTGTTAAGGATACAGTTAGCAACCAAATACCACCTCCATTGGCTTTACGTATGAACTGTCAATACATTACTAAATAAATTAATTAAATTTCTGACTGTATTTGCAACAATGATAAACTCAAACTCTATAATTAGAACAGAAGTATTAAAGCATGTTTGATTTAGTAGTAGAATGTTGTACACAGTATATAATTCATAACAATTATAGTAGTATTAGACAGTAGTACAGTAGCCTTTTTAGTAAACACAAAATATTTGTAACATTCGCCAAGAATAAAGCATATAAAATTCAAAAGTTTCTTTTGAAAGCTTTATTTTGGATTTAAGATTTTTAAAGAAAACTGTTAAGGTGGTTAATAATCAAAACGTAGTAACTGACTGGGTGGAAACTAAACTGTTGTTTCAGATAGCGAAAATTCTTTAAATGTAGTAGTGGTTTAACATTTGGAAACTTACTAACCTAATTATCTTCGCATACATTTCACGCACATGATGGCATTTTTTTGGTGACACGAGCGCGATTTGAACCGACATCCATGCTGCTGCTCCGTGTAGCACCAGCCAGCATAAAAACTTTTTCAAATTAGGTCGATTTTAAATCTAGCATTTTAACTGAATGAGAAAGACATTAGTGTAATTGGTTTTTACCGCCAGTCAACTGTGAATATTAGGAGTTTAGTATAAGTGAAGAACGTTAATCATTATAGGTATCAAGTAAAGCCGAAGAGCCAATTGTGGTGAAGAAGTCTGCTGTTAGATCTATTAAGTTCGACCAAGAACCCGAGGCTAAGGAGGAAACGCCGTCGTTTATCATGGTTTGTATTTGTTATGTATATACAAAAATACCATATTCATACAACATATAAACAGTTACATCTTATAGTATTTAAATACAATATCAAAGCAGGATTAATTCATCTTGTGTTTATACGAAAAATAAAATAATATAGGGACTTAGTTATGAATGTATGTATAAAAGATATATCATACTTGAAAATATATTTACAAAAAATGTATGCTCTGCAAATGAAAAGCTAAATTAATTCAAATCTAAATATTGTCTATAGTTTACGCGAGTAGTACACATTTACATAAAACACTTTAACGGTTTAAAACGCGATATATTAGTTAAACTTATTTGAAAATGATTTTTAACTTCGGTCCGACGTTTCCCCGTGACCACGGCTGCTGCAAAGCATCCGAAACGTCAGGCCGAAGTTAAAAATCATTTTCAAATAAGTTTAACTAATATATCGCGTTTTAAACCGTTAAAGTGTTTTATTTAAATAATTCAAATCTATCTAATAAATGTATAATTATGTCTCCAGTAACAATTTCACACACACAAATTGTTATTGATGTTTTTTTCGTTTCATGAAACTTATCCATAATATTTTTGGAAAGTTTATAGTGTATCCTCTAGAATAAATAGAAGCTATAATAAGCTATTCCAAGCGTTGTCTTGGTCGCGAAAATGATATTAGTAATAGGAAGGATTAACCGATATATTAAGTTTTTTTCACGACATTATCCATACAAAAGATATAGATCCACTTTGCATATTCACAAATCCGCAGACTGAAACCAAGATTTGGATTAAGTGAATTTAGATATTCGTTTTACCAATTTATTGTTCAGATTTAAAAAAATGGTTTTCGAACCCACGACCCGCTGATGATTAACACAACTGTGCTATCATTGGACCAACGGACTCCTAAAAATATAATGTATATTTTTTTCCAGGCAACAACAAATTGGGAGACGCTAGCTTGCGGTAAGACCCAAGACCAGTTAGACTTAACAATCTTAGCCCATCAATTTTTAAAGAAATCAGCTTTAAAACCGCGGTCACTTAATTTTTAAATAGTATATTTTTATAACGAAATTTTAAGCAAAAAAAGTTACATAAACTATGATTATAAGTCGGAAAATGTTTCAAAACAAACTGACCTCATAAATAATAATGTAATGTTTTATACAACTAAGGTTAATTCTTACAACAATATTTATTTAAGGTTCTGTAAATATTAGCATGATGTAGTTTAGGTATTTTTTTAATTATGGTAAGGTCTCCTCTATCATGAAACAAACTTTTATATGTAGCTTACGCGAGTTGTACACTTAATTATATTTTTATATATCATCTTTAAACCGTTTAATTCAAACACGAGATTTTATGAAAGGTTTAAGAAGACTGTTTCGTGTGATTATTATTTTAAGTGTCACATTTAATTTTGTTTGCATTTCTCTGTGTCTACGTAAAAGTGACACAATGTCTCTCTTAAACATTCTGCGATCTGCTTTAGAGAAAGAGACAACTCTACTATGAATAATTATTTGAATCATTGTTAAAGATTTTTATTAGGGTGAAAGAGATGCGTAACTTTGGTGTGGTTTGCTTTAGGAGTGTAGGTGTAACTTTAGTTTTAAATGTCGCCATACGATGTAGATATTTAGATGCAATAAAGAATTTTGTTTCAAAAGAAATTATTTAACGTTTTAATCTTTATAATGTTTATTTTTGGTTAGTGACGAATACATTATGCTTTACGTGACACAATTAGAGCGATATTGTTTGCTATAAGCCTGCACTATTCAAAGTGGAATAGAGAAGATAAAAGAAGTTTAACACACGGTAAATGTTGCCATCTTATTGTTTATATCTGTTTTTTACCTTTAAAACGGTAGATCGTGCTAAAAAGTTTTCTTCGCAGCTTTCTTGTATTTAAATATTTTGAATATTTACTATAAAACCTGTCCATTGTAAGTTGTTTTATTGATTTGATAATCATTCTATTTGCTTTTGTATTCGTGATTTGTTTAATATATATAGTGTATTGAATTCGTTTGTATTTTAAGATTTTACGGCGTGACCACATTGTAAATACATTTTAGACTTGCAATAAAGGTTTGAAATATAGTTTACTGTTTTATTTGTATCTCGTCTCGAATAATATTTGAGAGGCAGAGTGTCCCCATGACAAAAAATATGATTTTCCATTTTCAAAAGGCGCAATTAACTTAGGCCAAAATGAATTTATACTATTATTTGGTAAGAATTGTCTTAACAATATTCGGTAACTGTGCATTTTTTAACTATGAAAACATAAATAATTCAAGTCATAAATTTGCAGTTAGGCTACTCTGACTCTAGCGGCATCATATAAATGATTTCTTAAGCTATAGTTCCGCCTAACTGAAACTATGTATTCCCGGGAATTCAACCGGGAACTCCGCTTTTTGGTAGTTGTTCCCCGAGTTAGTCACGGTGTGGAACCCGTATCTCAGATGATGCAATTAAATGCTTCCGATAAATGAAGTCCGGTCTTTGACTTTTCCTCATCCCGCGCTACATAGGTTTATTGAACTTTATTTAGGTATCTAGTAAAATTAATTTACTGGGCTAATTTGCTTTGTTACATTTCGTAATATTTTTTTGAGCTGTTTGAAGCTCAAAAAAATATTTGCAAAAGGTTAAATAATTGCACAAAAAATATCATGTATCACATTTTAAAGACTTGTTTTTTTTGGAATTCAAAAATTTCTTACAGATTAAACCTTAAGAAATCTTATATAAGACGAGAGATTAGTGGATGGAAGGTAAAATACCTGAACCATATAAGCAGCAAGATGTGTTGTCAACCTATTTTGGTTTAGTATATTCCAAATATATCAGGTAAAATTGGAGTAGCCAATATAGTTCATGGAAAAGTCTATTAGAAATAAAAAAGGAGGCAACGTTGATAGTTTAAGCTAAAAAACAAAAAAGAATCGTCAAAGAAAAAATCCTAGCTGATAATAGATTCAAAGCAAACATTTGGAATCTTATAAGAATATGACCAATAATAACTTTGATAACGAACTAAATAGTAGCCTATGAAATATGAACCCGTTATCATATCTAAACAGACCGTAAACGGGGGTTCACACGCGGGAGAAAACAACTTGGTATGCACGGGAAGAACCTACGCTTCTTGTTTGGTATAAATACTAGGGAAAACAAGGGATATGTATCAGTTCCTCTGTACACGACGACTAAGTGTTCAAAAGTTACAGGTAAATATTTTCACTTAATAAATTTACTTTAGTTATTAAAATTGAGGGTAAATTTAACTACTGCTGCCATCTTGCCTTAGTTGTGATCGTGCTGTTGCTAATAGTTCGAGTCCCTGACAGACAAGTTGAAGTTGTTGGAAAATTTTCAATATTTTTCCCATTACATAGCATTATTTAAGTTAAAATTTGTTTAGATTACAAAAAAAGACACGGGCGGTATTTGAACCGGCACAATACTTGGTATGGTATAGAGTAGCATGGAATATGGATGTAGGTTTTAGTTAAAGTAAATTCATTTTTAATTAATATAAGTTGGTGTTGATTTAATCCAGTATAGACAGAAGGATTTTCTGCTTAATTTTAGTTAAGTACATGTCTATTAAAAATCTGTGCATAGATTTATCTGTAATCGTGAATTAATATTTGTTTAATCTAATGAGTAAAAAATTAATAAAAAATTATTTTCAGATAATTAACAAGATGAAGTACTTCTACTTTTTATTCGCGATCGTTTGCGCTGTGTCAGCTCAGGATTACTATGTTAATATAGACGAAGGGTAAGAATTATTATGATCTGTTCGACTTTTCAAATTATATTATAATAACCATATCTAATTTTATATTAATCTTAAAAACACTTGTAATGGCTTAGAACGTTATATATATTAGTTAAATTAATTTAAACTATAATTTTTAAATAACTGGTTCCTCTAGCTATCCAGACTGGTATTTAGAGCCTCAAATGAGGTACCGCCGTGACGTCACGCTAGATCGCAAAGTTGGAGCCAATGGTCGCGTGTTTGGAACCCTGGGGTCAAATGACGATGGATTATTTGTAAGTCTATATTTGCCATAATGCCCTAAAATATTAAAAGTGGTTTTTACCACTTAGTGTACATTTAACAGTTTAAAACGAAAGATATACATAACAAGTGGTATGCCGCTTTGTTTGAGTTTCAAAAAATAATTTACGATACGGGCAGTACTTAACCGGCCTCCGCAGCGTTCCATCGACACGGTAGCTCAATTGGTTAGAGCAACAGCACGAAACGCTGTGGATGTTGGTTCAAGTATAAGTTCTGCCCATGGCGTAAGATAATTTAAATCTAAAATCGATTTTTAATTTATGTAAGGATGATAATCGTTTAAAATTTACTGTTTCCTTGCAAATGTCGAACATATCTCTGTTATTTAACAAAATAATTTAATAAATTTTAGGGCAAGGGAGGTTACGAGCACCAGATCTTCAACGACAACCGAGGTAAATTGAACGGTCAAGTGTCCGGAACCCGTGTGTTGGGGCCCTATGGTGACTCTTCGCATATGGGTGGAGGTCTCAACTGGCAAAACTCTAATGCCGCTGCTTCCCTGGATGTTAGCAAACAGATTCATGGACCAACTTCAGTAAGTATTGATAAAATATCCACGCATTGTAGTTAACGCGAGTACTTTAACGGGTTAAAACTCGAAATGTATTAGTTACACTTGTTTACAACTTATTCTATTACAACTTATTCTAGTACAATTTATTGTAACTGCGGCCCGACATTTTGGATGTTTTAAAGCAGCCGTTATCAAGCGGGGAAGTTTATTTAAATATTCGTGTATTCCAAAATGGCGTATAAGAAGAAATTCGAATTCTTTTTATTTCGAAATATTTATGACACCGAACTCGAACCCACGATCGTGCTGTTCCTCTGAATTTTGTCTACTTTGTGTCGCGTTTTTGATTAAACGAATTAAAAGACGATTTATTTTTAAATTGGGTAACTTCCGGAGATGGAGAGTTTTAACTTAATTAATTCCGAAAGTCTGGTCAACTTGGCTTTAAACAAAATCGATCAGTGAATTGGGCTGTGAAGTGTGCGTCTCCCCATCAGTCCCCACTCAGTAGGTTTCACACACATATAATCGCCGATATTATTTTTTTACAGTGGTCTGCAGCAGCGGGTGGCAAATGGCCAGTTGGTAAAAATGGAGATCTTTCCCTACAAGGCACGTACAACCAAATGTCAGGTCGCCGTCCCGACTATGGTGGCCAAGGTGTTTTTAACTATCATTGGTGATTTTATTATAACATATTTTAAGTATTAAACGAAGTATTTATTAATTTATTGTTTTAATTTAACTCCTAAATGTGGATCATAAAAATGAAATCCTTTTACTAAAAAAAATCAAAATCTTTTAAGTTTAAAATACACAATATAAAGTTTAGGCCCTTCGTTAATTTTATTGCAATCTGTAATATACTTTGTAGATACGAATTACAGCTTGAAAACTTTAATATTTATATTTTGAAATATATACTTGTATATTTTTAAAAATCACTTTATTATCAAAAAACTTATATTTTATGATAGAGGGGGAAAGACAAGCATGGCATTCATTTGGTGGTTGGTGAAATACCTCAGCCATATATGATCTAAACATCTCTGTCGACATATGTTGACTTTGGATATTCGTAAAACCACAGACTGAAACCGAACGCGATTAAGCTTCACGACTCTTTCATCTGTGGTCGGTGGATCGCGAGCCGGACTGAATTTTTGTATTCCTACCAGCCATTTCAATGTACAGATTTTCGGACACTTCCAACATGTTTAAAAATCGAAAATAAATTGAAAAAACATTCGACTCGGGCAGTACTTGAACCGGCATCGTCAGCGTTCCGTACTGTTGCTCTACCAATTGAGCTACCGAGTCCTACATCTCATCGTCGTTTTTTTTCAACTTATTGATACATGAACCTCTCGCGCAATGTAATTTAAATTATATAGTGCCTTCGTGGGCACATGTGAAAAATATTAGTGTACAACAGATACAACATTTACAACAGATCTGTTGGGGATCGAAACCGACAACCCGTTGATTATTAGCAATACATTGCTATATATACAGCGATTATAATGGTGCCAATATAACCCAACATGGGATCTTAGGTAACGCTCATTCTAGACATGAGTAACGTGGTAAGTACGAAGTTCCCACCGCACTTTAACACAGTTAGTAAGCGAGCCGTCTTGTGAAATTGCCTCCCATCATACGCCGAACCCATTAGTAAGAGGTTGAATTAAATTGTCTTACAAATGTATGACTGCGTGCGTTAAGCGAGCGATTTTTGATCGTGCTTTTAAATTTGTGGAGTTTAAATAAAGAGCTTAGAAACACGGTGTGTATTTTACACTAGTTTCTTAGTAAGAGATTATTTTTAATACTGTCCAAATGTTTTCCAATACAGCTGATGTGTCACACATGTGGATTCCGGTTTGAATCCCGTCCGTGTCGTAAATTTATCAATCTAGATAGATTTATAGAGATTATTATGTAAATTCTTTGACGAATAAATAATTCAAACCACCTAAGACAGCTGCAGACCTTAAAAAATAAACTGGATAGGAAGTAAATCTAAATATCCAAAGCCAAAATACGTCAACAGCGAATCTTGTTTAGATGTGCCTGGGGTATTTTATCTACCATCAAGTGACCCCTTCCTTGTCTAACCTCCTTTATAAAAAGGAGTAATACTAGTGAATAGCGAGAAGCGAGACTTATGAAAGTTGTGCTGGGCTATGAGTGAAAGAGAGTGAGACTTATTGTTGATCTTTCTGTGAGTTCTAACCGCCAAGCCGCAATCACTTAGCGATATTTCTCATAGCTTTGGGATCTTACTCACTAGAATTATAATTTACGTATATTTGAATGACTGGAAGAGCAAAGTTTAGCAATAGGGCCGCCTGTAATGTATAAGCTAGTTAAATAAATTCTGTGGTGTTAATTATAAAATTAATAAAGTTTAATAATAAAAAAAAATCGGTTCGAGGAATCGGTTTTTTCGCCTGTGCTATAGATTGAGATAAAAAATTATTTTAATCTACGAAGTATAAAGTTACCTTCTATAACATTAGTTAATATAATGTAGTATATATACACAATTCTTCATCATAAGGGATTTGGATTTTTTTAAATTTCTAGACTAAATTGTTACTGCTCATAAGAAATAAACGCAGATGTTACACGACTCATCCTCAAACACCAGCTTGCTCATGCGACGGAATCGAACCGTAAAATCGTAGTAAATAGCTCAAACGAATTTCGACTGTTTGTTTACACACTTAGGTTGCAATTAGCAAATCCGGTTAGGCCAGCGAGGCAAATCCTCGCCCATAGCAATTAAGATTGCATGTCACTCCTAAATTTAGTGCAAGTCTAGCTTCAATTTATCGGTCCGTCTGACAATGTTGCTTAATTTTGAGCTATCAGTGCCTCTCCCAAGAATTATTGCTGTTCCCTGTAATATAGATAAACTAGAACCAGTATATTTGCTATTAATACATAAGTTATCAATAGTAAATATATATAAGCATCTCATAGTTCTCTATAATAAGTTGTTACGAAAGGAAACTTAGGAAACATTAAACACGCATGCTAAAATTAGTTAGCAACAGTAAGCCCGTGACCACGGCAGTGGGCGTTTACAGTAGTAATGGATCCAAAACGTTGCGTCGGGTCGTAGTTACGTAAATAAAAAGTTTAAAATTTTCCGTTTTAACTCGTTCAAAGTTTAAAATTTAAAAAGGATTTTTTTACAATGCTCTAAATTTACTGAAATTATTAAAAGATGTTGTATTTTACTACAAAACAAAACCTGTTTTGCGTGATATACCTTGAGACGTGATTTTGGAAAGGATTAATTTTAACCAATGATTTTATTTGCACAATGAATTTTGTGCTCTCTATATGTGTATGAGAAACTAAGATAAGTATCTGTAGTTTACGCGAGTAGTACACATTTAAATAGTACACTTTTAACGGTTTAAAATGGGAAATGTGTTAGTAAAACTTATTTACAAAATATTTTAACTACGGCCCGACGTTCCGGATGCATTGCAGGAGCCTGTAAGAAAATCTAAGATGTCATGAACACAAGGACCTACATAACAGATTTAAGGTTTCATCGTAAGTAAAAAATGGAGAAAATAGTATGATATTAGGCTAAAATATAGATTGGGAACTCTTCATACTGCATAAATGATGTCATTATAAAAATTAAACATCGATTATAGATTGAAAAAAAAAAAACAATCAAGATTTGTGCGAGAGGTGTATGATAGGTTGAAACATTCAACGATGACGGTCATGACAGCTCAATTGGTTAGAGCAACGCTGTGGATGTCGGTTCAAAACCTATCAGTGTCGTACTTTCCTCAATTTAAAATCGATTTTTCATTTAAAATATAAATGTTATTACGATTACGTAGGTTGATGCTTTAATTTGCCTTGTTATAGAGCAATAGGGATGCCAATTAAGGTGAGCTCGCAATTTAAGCACGCAATAGAGGGCATATCATTTACAATTATTTAGGACTGGTTATATAATAATTTCAATCGTTTTTCGAGATATTTTCCTTATAAAGTGAAAAATCATAACACATATTTGTGATAGAATACTTAAAAATTAAAAAACGTTATACATACACTAACAAATACGATTAATAAAAGTGAATACCCGTTTTGGCTCGTGGTCATCGGGTAAACACAATTCTGTGTCCGTTTCACTGATCGGTTCTATATACAGACAAGCAGTTGAACAAGAAACATTCTAGTGCTTCCCCGTAATTCAAAAGTCTCGCGTTTTTTAAAATACTATGCAACACGTTTAACCATATTGGTACAGAGGTAACAAAATTTTGCAGTTGCAATAATAGGAACCATCAAGTACTTTTTTGCGAATAATATTGATGCGAAATCGCCCTTTGTAGAAAAATTGCAAAATTGTTGTTGTGTCCGTTAGTTGAAAAATTATTGTCACCCTACATTAAGAGGTAGGTGGGAGATTACGCTAACTCCCTCGAGACAACCACGTCGATGTTACGGGGAATAAGCTTAAAGCTTTCAACCCGTTCCACCAATTACAATATGTCGCACTACTTTAAGTTTCGTATAAGCTTACAGAACGGGGAAATTTCGTTATAACTGTCTAACTAATAGGTCTATAACAGGTACGATGCGTATATGAAATAGATATTAAACGAATAAAAAAATCATGTTATAATAATTTTCTTTTTCAGTAATAAAAAATGTGCTCGACCTATGCTTTATACGGAATGTCACTTCCATTTTTTCCACCTTAATTCAAGTTTGTTTATTGATGGTTAATGCATTTGTTTCATTAATTTTTGAAATAGTAAAATGCACGTGAAAATGAAGTTGTATTTGTATCTAATAAAAATGGCGCATCTGAATTAAAACATGATTAAACAGGTTTTTTTTATAGTGCGCCTTGCACTATAAAAATTTAAAAAAAGTTTTTTGCGTCAGGCACCGAGTGCAGTGATTAAACATCTCTCAAACTTTATAAGCAATCAAAAGTATTCGTACGAGTGATTTTCAATCACTGCTGCTAAGTTGACGTTAAGGGGACTTGTTTTTTTTGTTGTAGTCACGACTCCTATATGACAGATATATTCGGACTTAACGAATAAAAAATTAAATTTAAACACGTTGGGGAGTCACCTAGCAAGTTTTTAAATATATAAATACCTACCGCAATTCGAAGAAGCGATTTATATAATTAACAAAATATTTTTCCTCTCCAACCAAGTAATAATTATAAATATTCATTTCACAATATTGAATTAAAATATAGTCTATGAAAATTGGATAGCTTCCCTCATTTCATTTATGTAAAACTTTTTAATAAATACGTTAAAACCCTTTGGTATTTATGTTCAAAATTCAAAGCAACATTTCGTTCTGTTTGCCGTTACTATGATTAATTTGAATATTTGGAAAGTGCTACGTTGCTGAAAATTGTGCTCGTTTCAATAAAACTAAATAATCAAAACACGTTGCCCCAAAAATATTTAACTTTTATCTCAAACAAAAACTTTATAATTTAACTCCGTCAGCGCATAACCACAGTGGCGCGCTTATCAAAAACGTTTGAAAAACTGCAACGCAATATAAAATAACGCGAGGCCACTTAAAGTTGAAACTTCGAGGATTTTTATTTAGTTCCAGAAATATAAACAGAGTTGATAGCTCGCTCGACTTTCATTGAAGCCTCTTCAAAAGTTCGCGTGCAATTTTAAAATTTCAATCTGGAAATTGCTCTACTAAATATAACGAAACCTCCACAACATTTTCATCCAGCGTTACCATTGCGTATTTGGCCTTTTTATCTGCTTTAATGGTATTAAATTTGCGAAACGTTAAATTATTTTTCGTGGGTGCTATAATTTGTGCTGATGTGATAAGTTTTAATACTAAAAAGTTTGCATAGTAATTTAAAAAAATGCATTCCTTTTTTGACTTATCTGAGCTTCAGTTGATGGTAGGTGGAGTTCGATAAGTTTTTTACTCCAAGCATTTCGATGGTGTTTTTTTATTCGTGACCCATATAATAGGGCTACGGTTACTTAAAAGATTGAATACCGCTTTCAAATTCATACTATCTAGCATAAAATATCAAAATGTATGGACTAATAGCCATATGTTATTATGGTTATTAAACAGTATTTTTGTATTATTTATGAAATAGTGACATTATAAGAACTTTTTTAGAACAAAATTGCAAAATTATCTGTTCAATAATTTTAAATGTAGTAACAATAATGTAAAAGCTTCGACCGCCTTCATAGCTAAATAATTAAACAAATAAATTTTTGTGATGCCTATATTGCGTTAAATATAAGAGGTTCTAGATTCGGATCCCAGGAAAACAATAAATTGTTTCGGTCGGGCACAAAAATCAATCAGTGAGGCGGACACAGAAATGTATTCGCCCATGAACGGAACTAGGGAAGGCAACGGAATTTAACTTAATATAAAAGATCAGACAAACTCGTTGTGACAACCCTAGCTGGAACATCGCTTGGTTATTAGATTTTGTTTGAAGTTAATATCCGTTCGGAAGAACATAGATTGAAGTTTATTGCGCAGAATTGCTTGATGTATAAGAAAATCTTATTTTAACGATAGCAAATGTGATCTGTGTACATATTATGATAATAAAGTGTTTTATTTTTTATATATAAATCGTAAAGTCTTCTTAAAGTGTAAGGCGCGTTGCGTTATATCGTGAGAGGTTCCGAGTTTGAAACCCCGCGGAGCATTACGTTAATTTAGTGTTACGGTTATGAAACGTTTTCCACTTCTCTGTTTCTTTGCTACTATTGGTTGCAACCTCTTTTATAGTCTTCCTCGATGAATCATCCAACCAAGAAAAAAAATATTTTTCAATTCGAACTAGTATTTTCTGAGATAATAAATAGCGTTTAAACTTAAAATATTAGTATAAAATTAAAATTAAAAAGCCCGTGTGATTTCCATCTGTATTCTGAGAAAAGTAATGTCTTGAAACGTAAAAGGGGATTCACTTACTAAGTTAATTCGTTATCGTCTTCTCATTGTGATTGACCCGACAGGAATAATGACTGCGAGGTCAAACGTCGAGCGATACCGCGAGGGAATACCTCATATCACCAACACCAACATATCGTTACTGGATGGTGCAATATTATTTATATGTTTTAATGTATTTGTTTATTTTCTTTTCTAATGATTTGGTTAAGTTAGAGGTTTCTGTTAATAAATATTTATATAATTATTGTAGTGTGAAATATATGCATGGAATTACTTACAAAAATTGATATTAAATAACTATTAAATATTTCGCTCTATATTATGCGATTTTTTATTTAATTATTATATTTATTTGGAAAAAAATGTAAAACCTATTAATTTACCTTATAGTTTAAATTGCAAAATACAGTAACAATTTTATAAAATATTGTTTTTATTCTTCATTTATGTATAGTGTATTATATGTAACTATTATTTAAATTCAATACAAATATTGTTTGAGTATACAATACCACTGAAGTACAGGGAAAACTTCGCTTACAACAAATATAGTCTCATCCAGTCATTGTATATCATGATAAGATGTTCGCACATGTTTGTAGACCGTACGGGGATTTTTCTGTTCCCAGATCTTAGAATATAACACAGGACTCGAATCACCAGCAATCATTCGAGTTCCAACATCGAAAACGACAAAGCTTAACTTCAAATATATAAATAAATTCATAAAAATGTTTCTTAAAACTTTGATCTTCGCTACTTTACTAGCCGGTATCAACTGTAGGTACGTGTTGCTGGAGAAAGATGATATACCGGTGTACCTTGATGATGTAGAGCATACCAGGGTACGAAGACAGTCACAAATTGGAGTAGGCGTTGATAACAAGGGCAATTGGGATTTGGGAGGTAAAACGCCCATCGCTGGAAACGACAGGAATATTTTGAGTGCTACTGGTTCAGCGGCAATGGACGCTAGCCACAAGTTGACGTCTTATGGCGCTGGTCTTGCCTTGGACAATGCGTAAGTGTATTTTTTGTACATTTGAATAACATACCGGTTTAACGGTTTGAAACGCGAAATTTAATAGTTAAACTTATTTACTATTTATTTTAATTACTGCCCGACGTTTCGGAAGTTTTGCAGCATCCACGCTGCAAAACTTTGCAGTGACCATGTTAACGAATACATTTCGCGTTCTAAACGGTTAAAACTGTGTTTTTTATATTTTTTACGTGTTAGATAAATGTTTATTAGAGATACGTAGATACGATATTTTTAAGTTTAAAAACAACAATGACACAAGCGGGATTCTATTTCTTTAATTAAAAAGTATAGTTGTAGAACGGTAACCACAAATTATACTTTTAAATAATGTTTTATACGGAAATAAATAGAACAATTTTTCTATTTTATAGCAACGGCCATGGACTAAGTCTCTCAGCAAAACAGATCCCAGACTTCGGAAAGCAACTGACTGCGGCCGGAAGACTCAATGTCTTGAACACTCCTAACCACAATCTGGACGCCAACGCGTTTGTCACCAAGAATTTGCCTAGCATCCCCAATGTACCGAATTTCAACACCTACGGTGGTAACTTGGACTATATGTACAAGTAAGTATTAGTATTAGTAAGCTATTTTGCCGCAACACTCTCACCTAACATCACGCCTGCTCTAACTCCCACACTCACTCCCACTCCCACTCCTATTCCCAAAAAGCTAAAGAAGAAAGTTGTATTGTTTTAGCTCAAAAATAGTACGAGTTTCCATACAACTTTTCACCCCCCCTTTTAACCTCTTACGCAATAAAAAGTAGCCTATTTTCTTTTTCAAGGTCTAGACCATCTGTATACTAAATTTCATTCAAATCTGTTTAGTAGTTTTGCCGTGAAAGAGAAACAGACAGAGTTACTTTCGCATTTATAATATTAGTAAGGATAAGTAAATATGATGAACGAGGTCTTATTGTTTTTAATATATTTATCATTAATTTTAGGAACAGAATTGGTGGATCACTAGGAGCTGCCCGCACCGACTTTCTGCAAAGGACAGACGTCTCAGCACTTGGAAAACTGAATCTCTTCAAGTCTCCGAGCTCCAGCTTCGATTTCAATGCTGGAGCAACGCGTTCCTTCTCCCCCTTCATCCCTAAAAGTAGTTGGCAACCAACCTTCGGATTTAGCTTTGGAAAGTCTTTCTAGACTTATTGTAAATAGTTTTTATTAGATCTGACGCATCCTAGTATCTAGGAATACAGTTTGGAACTTTAAGATACAAAATATGATATTTTTAATTTATGTTTTATGTGACCGCCTTAAGTTTATAAATAATTTTAATTACTGATTAAAATATAAGTAAACTTCAACTTTTTTTATTATTTATTTATCAAAAAAAAATTACATGCTTACAGAATAATAATTCCAACATGAGAGTGAGTTTCAGTAATATTTATTAGCACATTCGAGAACGACCACACCTAAATATCTATACTAATATATAAAACTGAAGAGTTTGTTTGGACGTTTGAACGCGCTAATCTCAGGAGCTGTGAGTTCGAATAGAATTGATTTTTGTGTTGATTAGGACATTTATCGAGGAGAGCTAATAAAAACTTATAAGCTATAAAACATCACCCTATTATTAATACAAGCGACGATACAGCGAGAAATGTAAAAAAATGCAAAGCTGCAAAAACGGTTTACGATATGCAAAAAATATGTATGAACGAATGATTCCTCTTTAAATGATCTAAAAAAAGTCCGCGACACTATATGTCTATCTTTTAAGATTAACTTGCAAGAACGACGGGAAGAGACGCGACCGAGGTAAGTAACAGCTTAAGTTTACAAAGATGAAGGGGTTTACAAAAACTCATTTGGATGCCCAAATTAACGATTCTGGCGGACGAAGTCGCTGAAACAGCTAGTAGGCAATATAGGTCAAACTGTTAAAGCCAGCGAAAATCAACGTTAGTTTCGCAAGCAATAATTAATTTTGGTTTAGAGAACTTGTAATAATAATTATTAATGCGGCTCATTTAGAAGACAACTTTAATAAAGCAAGACTAGTGAGAGACATAATTTGAACTTAAGAAATAAGGATAACCTAGCTATCCCTAAATATAGGGTTCATAAAATCACTAACTCTTTTGCGAGGAATTGTATTCGTATGTATAATAACGTTGCAAATTTATCAATAAATAAGTTTAAAGTTTAGATTGTCTCAAAAGGCGTATTATTGAGCTATTTATTTAATGACAAGGATGCCTGGCAGTGCTTTGAAATGATCCTTAGGTTAATCATCTCACAAAAGTGTATTAGTTTATAAGACATGTTTAAAAAAGCCATACTGAGTTTCTTGGGTGTTTTTCTCGGTCATGTTGCACTTTGGAACACTGTGTAGAATCACGACAGACAGACAGACAAACATCTTTTGACGAATCTAAATAAATTTTAAAGACTGTTGCTATAACTAATTTATTATTATTATTGTTAACTAACGTCATTTCTGGTAATAAAATGAAAAAAAAACTTATTAAATCCACTATTATTACAATTATATTATGGGTTATAATGTTTTATCCACCGCCTCTGTAGCTCAATAGTGCAATGCAAGCATTTTGTTAAGTGTGTGGGGGGTGTTAAGACCAGGGTTCGAATACTCGGGGAACAATAAATTGGGTAAGTCCAGCAGGGCACAGGAGTCAGACCAACTACTTGCCTGTAAATAAAACCGATAAGTGAAACGGACACAGATATATACCACCAATTGAAACTAAATGTATTAAATGGGACTGGACCCGTACGGAATTTATTTATTTTGGTCAAAATTAGAAATCGAAATCGCCTTCCCATTGTCGATCTGAAATTTGGTACACATTACACACACATCCAAGATGGCCGCCGATACAAAATGGCGGATTACATATTTTTCCTTAACCCCCTCAATATGGGTATCAAATGAAAGGGCTACAATAGTAAAACATGGTGATTATGTCAAATTTTAAAATATTTGTAATTCTCAGTGCACAAAAAATAAAAACGTTTAACTTCAAATTTTTTTTTAAGTTGATACTTGTTTTTATATACGAACATAAATCTGGCGGTCGGTTAGTAGCAATGTGCTTAGTGAGTTTCGTAGCGGGATTCAATTTCATTTTAATTAATATTGGAAGAAAAGCCAGCGAACGCTTAAAAAAGTGAAACCTCCAATCGTAAAGCTTTTGAAGTCTTAGCTTCATAGTGAACTTATTGATAATAAAATACTTTAAAATTTGTAGTTTACGCGAGTAGTACACATTTAAATTAAATACTTTAACTTCTTAAAACGCGATATATGTTAGTTAAACTTATTTGAAAATTATCGTAGTATCCTCACTGTCTCCACGTGACCACTGCTGCAAGGCATCAGAAACGTTGGGCCGTAGTTAAAAATAAGTTTAACTAATATATATCGCGTTTTAAACTGTCTAAGTGTTGATAATAATTCATCTCCACAAGGTGGAGTTACATAGTTGTCACTGAAGAAGCTGCGATATAATTTGTAAAGTTCCTAATGAAATAGGGACTTAGCTCGGCTCCACGGAGTTTATGAAAATATATTGAGTTGCGTGTACACCGAGAGAAACTAGTATTTTATATAGGTATAACCGATTTAAATACAACTCTTTAACGGTTTCAAAGATAATGTATTTTATCTATGTCGGGCCGTCGTTAAGATAATTTCCAAATAAATTTAACTTATATACATGGCGTTTTATACCGTTAAAGTGTTTTATTTTAATGTGTACTACTTGCGTAAACTATAGACAGTATTTAAGCCTTAATTTGTTATTAACTAGTTATAACTAGTATAAGTTAAATTGGTTCCTATTTAATTTTAAATTTAAATCCGAATAAAACATTTAAAAAACGTATTACGTATTTTTAATAAAGATTATGCAATTTATTTTCTCGCGTTTTTGTGTTTAAATTTGACTTAATATTGATATACAACTTTAATGAGCATCTAAGCTCTTTGCACCTCAAACTCAATACAAACGCGCTAGCTTGTTGAAGCGAGAAATAGGACATCCAAGTTGTCGGTACAATCTCTTAAGAAAAAGGAACCTCATCCTAACTTTAGCGTTCATATTAGGTAAATTATTATCGCATACTTTACAGGCTACAAAGAATGTTCTTTCGCTTCGTACTAAGTGTAAAGTTACCCTTTTGTATAATACTCTGTTCTCGCAAGTTAAGTATTATACAATCTTAGTTTCATCACTCACGGCAGAAGGGATTGATGACTGAAGTGATTATTTTTGTATCTTGGTTCTGGCGATAAACATAGTGAAAATTATAATCATTAATCGAGAATATGGCACAACTTAGACCTAGAACTAACTTAGAACTTAGACCGCGAAATATATTGGTTAAATAAATTGTAATGTAAGTCGTTACATCTATACTAATATATAAAGCTGAAGAGTTTGTTTGAGCGCGCTAATCGAATTGAAAAATTATTTTTGTGTTGGTTAGAGCGTATATTGAGAATGGTTATGGGCTATAAAACATTGCGCTGTGACTAATAGGAGCAAGAACGACGACACTCGACCGATTTCGTGCGTAACAGTTTAAATTTATGTATTATAAAAAATTTGAATAACAAAATAACTATTCTACGCGGACAAGGTCGCCGACACAGCTCGTACAAAATATAAGCCATTTTAAACTGCAATCCAATAAGTTAAAAAAGCTAGAGCGCTGCCAAGATTGAGAGCAATATCATAATTTCCTCTCAGCGAGACAATATTTGTCAAACTTTACCGATCCTTTGGAAAGCCAATATCTATTTTTGTTGATAAAAATCCCTTCTCGTTATATGAACGTCATATTAGTGTTTGTATTTGCATATATCAAACCCAAAGGTTTTTGGAATGTGAGAAAAATGCTCGTGAGTTAACGAAAAGTATTCAGTGTATTGTGCTTAACTTTATTAGTTTGTAGCTGAGTCGAAAATAACAGGTTCAAATCCCCGGGACACAATAAAGTATTTCGATCGAGTAGAATACCAAAGTCTGACTACTCGCCTCTAAGACAATCAAACACTGCAACGGACATACAAATGTGTTCGCTCCATGCCCCACAAAGGGTGACGGCATTTCACATACCTTGGTTAAAATGTAAAGATACACTTAATTTATTTTAAATGTTAATGACAGTACTTCAAAAAACTGTAAAATAGAAAGATGTAACCATTGTCTAAGATTGAATTTTCTGGGCACAATTTACCAACGTACTTGATAATGTCATGGGTCTTGTCTGCGTTTGTAACGTAGAGTTAAAGTTTTATAGGGTCTTAGCTAAGTTAACAATTCTAAAACAATAACAAAAAATTGTCTGTAGTTGTAGCTGTAGCGGGTAGTACACATTGAAATAAAATTTTTTACCTTCAACATAAAAACAATTTTAAAATAATTTCGTAGAAAAAGGGCTAGATAAAGCAAAAAAAACTATATCTGTGGATTTCATTTAGTAGCATATAAAACATTATTGTTTGTTGTTAGTAAGTTGGATGGGGACATATAAATACCTTTAATATAAGTAAGTCGTAATTAAGTTGTCGAGCTTCTGATTATTTTTATAAATGTGGCATTGACTTGGACTATTAAATTAACAAGAGTATTTATGAATATAAATAAAACTTACAAAGCGGCCTTTGTGTGTGAATCTTATTTCTACGAGTCTAGCTAGTTAAGTGCAAGGAGTGAAAAGTGGATACATCTAGGAAATGGTATCCACGACGTATCCCTTTATTATGATTTAACTCGCGGCCCATTGAATTCGAAGGACAAAAGATTTATTCTCAACAAAATATTATGGCGAGAACAATGTATCTTTAGCGAAACATTTTTTTGTTTCCCATTGAAAGGATATTTCGTGAAAAGATAAGAAAAATATAAGAAGTCCTTCCAAAGCAATGTTCCTTTCGTTTAACGAAACAAAAGATATTAAATGTGTTGTAATTAATCATATTTGTAGTATTTAGATGAAATAAAGTAATTCTTAATAACCGTTTTTTAACTAGGTTGACGAAAAAAAATGACGTTAAGTTAATATAAATGCTCGAAAAGGTTAAATAAAGCTGTCCTTTGCTCTACGCCAATATGACTATTACCTTTTGCTATGTAAGCCACCTTAGCTTCAACTCCTTGGAGGCG